CAGAGTCCACAACACAGAGTCCACAACACAGAGTCCAACACAGAGTCCACAACACAGAGTCCAACACAGAGTCCACAACACAGAGTCCAACACAGAGTCCAACACAGAGTCCACAACACAGAGTCCAACACAGAGTCCACAACACAGAGTCCAACACAGAGTCTACAACAGAGTCCAACAGAGTCCAACACAGAGTCCAACACAGAGTCCACAACACAGAGTCCACAACACAGAGTCCAACACAGAGTCCACAACACAGAGTCCAACACAGAGTCCACAACACAGAGTCCACAACACAGAGTCCACAACAGAGTCCACAACAGAGTCCACAACACAGAGTCCACAACACAGAGTCCAACACAGAGTCCAACACCGAGTCCACAACACTGAGTCCACAACACAGAGTCCACAACACAGAGTCCAACACAGAGTCCACAACACAAAGTCCAATACTGAGTCCAACACAGAGTCCACAACACAGAGTCCAACACAGAGTCCACAATACAGAGTCCAACACAGAGTCCAACACAGAGTCCACAACACAGAGTCCAACACAGAGTCCAACACAGAGTCCACAACACAGAGTCCAACACAGAGTCCACAACACAGAGTCCAAAGTCAAAGCTAACATTTCTGCTAAGCTAGTGGAACATATTGGCTGTGTCTCATTCCGCCTACTTGCACACTTCAAACACTTAGTTTTAAGTATATAGTGTAGATAACACAAAAAGTCAGTGCACTGAAAGTATCCGGATGACCCCCTGAAAACGGTCAAAAAATTCAGTATGGAATGATGGACCCTACTCGCACTGAAGGGATGCCATCTTGACTACAAAGCGGAAGGGAAGGGGCCAGGGACGTCGGCAAGTTTTTAAAAATTTGAAATAATGAAATAATGACCAGCCGAGGCAGCCGGAGCTGCGACGACAAGTTCGACACCTCAAGCGTATAAATGTAAGTAATGGTGGTAATACGATACAATATCGATTTTTCAACTCCAAAGATCGATTTTTTTTAAGGATCATGATTCATGTTTAGACGCGTTGTGAATACAGTATGACTTCCGTACCTCCACTTCAGTAGATGGCGCCGAAGAGCAACTCTGCTGTGCGCATGTATTTCTGTATTAGAGAGAGTGGCTGAGGACTTTCCAAAATGGCTATCAAAATAACAACGCCTCCGCAGTGTAAAGCCGACGTTTGGAAGCACTTTGGCTTCCAAATTAAAAAATATAGTAAGAACAACGAGTTGGATAAAGATAATGCCGTTTGTAAGCCTTGTCTCGCTGCCGTGAAATATTAACTTGCGAGTTCACCTAGCAAGACACCACTCCGAGAGTACTCTCAGAGTACACCGAGCTAAACGGGGGGGGGGGCACGTACAACTCGCAAAAGTTGCTGCGCCCATATTAAGATGTATTTTCTTTGTATTTGTACTACGTTGGTCGTTTTAATGTCGATTTTAAATGCTCTTACAAACTTGTTTACATTGCTGCTTTAGTCCGGTCACCAATATATGCATTACACGGTGTTGCTGTGAGTTCAATACAATGTAAAGTTTTGTTTTCGAGCTGGTTTGCTAAATAGGCTAATGTAGCTAACAATAACACTAGCCTGCCACTCTCCCTGGAGGCCCCTGGTTGCCCCTGGTGGCCCCTGGTGGCCCCTGGTTCTTGCCAATACTCACCCCTACATTGTACTGTTGTCTAATGCATCACTTACATGTCCCTCACTGACTGAAGCCGACATAATTATTTGGCGAGTTAAGTAGGCGACGTAGTTTCCACATGCTGTGAACTGAGTGGTAAATGAACATGCAGAAAAATGTTTGTAACAAAAGCCGGCATATATTTTTGGCGGGCTGGAAAATCGCGGTCATGTGTGTTGCGTTTGTTGCGTTTGTCGGGTTCGTCACGCTCATCCCGCTCGTCATTTCCTGTAAGTGTTCTAACATAGGTGTTCCTTTTGGGACAATACTAACCATCGACAGTGGCACTACGGCAGTAAGTGGTCAGTGCACATTAGCAGTGTACTGACGGAAGTATGCGGAATGAGACACAGCCAACGTCTGATTGTGCTGTTGATAACGTTAGCTTGCTTTGCTAACTGACTGCAAGCTTACATTATCCAGCTGATTCTGAATGCAGTTAATTTATGATTATATTCATTATAAATTCATCTGTAAATCATTTATTCCACTAATTAATTAATTGATCAGTTGTCATCAGTTGGTCCATAAAATGTCCTCAAATATCTTTTGTCCACAAAGACATTCACACTGTGTGTATTATTTATATCAATGATCTTATTTACGCTGATTCATTTCATAGTTTAACTGACTCAGCTGCTCTAATTAATCCCAACGCAGAGAAAATAATGAGTTTAATAATTAAAGATTAATGAGACAACACACACACACACACACACACAGTCACACACACACACCTAATGTTGTGACAAATGTCCTCCTGTTTCTGCTCCTCACCACTTTCTTTCATCCTCCACCTCTCCTCTTCCTCCCCATCTGCCATTCCTCCTCCTCCTCCTCCTCCTCCTCCTCTTCCTCCCCCTCTCCTCTCTCCTGCCACATTCCTGCTGACTCTTCGTGTTCAGACCTGCAGTTTGTGTCTCCAGCAGCTTCAACCATCAGTCTGTGAACTGATCTCAGGTCAGATTATTGCACTAATGAGGAAGATTCTGGCTACTGTCAGTTTGATTGATGAAGGTTAAATAAAATGTTATTTTAATTGTAGTTTTATAAAAGAACTTCCTGTCTTTCATTTTGGATTTTTTTCTCCTTATATAGTTTATTTGTTTACATTATTGTTATTTTATGTTTGCTTTCCTCTTGTTGAATTGAAGCTATTTGATGATGAAGAAGAAAGGGATGATGATGATGATGATGATGTTATTTGCATTAGTTGTTGTTTACTGCAGAGAGAAACATTTGGCCCTGCTGACTGTGTGTT